GGCCAAGACTGCCGTCTCTTGCTCAAAGTCTCTCGGCCATTGTCCAGTTCCTATATTCTATCCACAAGTTCCCCCCTTTTGCTCCCGACTTTTTAACAATCATGGATTCATCCAATTCACATTAACTCTTGAGACCCCTGCAAGAGCAACTTGCATATTTTGCTCCCAGCCTAAGAAAAAAAACATGAACTGGTATCTAAAATCACCAAATCTAACTGGTTGCCGCTCAAAGTATCAACTGCAATAAAGAAAGCTTCGGCAGTCAAGATCCGGGACAGAGCTTAATATACAACCCCTAACATCTCAGCGGCCAACTCATTGAGGGTTCAGGGAAGCTCTGGCAGACCCCTGATCCCGCTTGAATTTAGCGAGCTCCTCCTCCAGCTGGCGTGCTCTAGCGCGTTCCTCCTGTTGATACTAGTTAGTAATTGCTTTATGCACAAGACAACCTGAAATACAAAACATACCTTGAGGTTCTCTTGGAACTTCTTCCTCTCTTCACGCATCGTGGCCCTGAACTGCTCACTCAGCATCGAGGCTCCTCTGCCAACACCACCATTTGGTGGGATTGCCTTAAGTCGTTCGCCATCAAGATCCTCTTGTAGCTTGGTGATATGCTCACGGGCCTTCTCCATATCTGCCTCGAGGCGCTGACGAAGTGTCGTAATCTCTCCTTCAAGTGTCTTCTTTGCCAATTGGACATCTTGGAGCTTGTTCTCAAGCTCTATCTTTTCTCGCTCGGCACTCAGTGTCTCCCGTGTGACCTCCTCCAGCTCTTGAACAGTTCCAGCTAACTCATTCTTTAGCCTTGTGAGCTGGTTCTGGAGCTTCATCACCTCGCCACTAGTCTTGATAGCTGCGACATCAGCGGCCCTCTCTGCACGGGATCCATAGGCTCCGTCCAGTTCCGCCTGGGCAATCGTGAGCTCCGTCTTCATCTCTACGAGGTTCATGTTGAGAAGCTCAAGTTCATCCTCCTTATCTTTCAGCATCTTCTTTTTAGTTGCAAGCTCTTCCTTTTGGCCATCCACCCGTTGCTGCAAGGACCTGGCATTGTCCTCAGCCATTTGCTTTGATCGGTTCACTTCATCGAGCTGCGCGTTAAGAGCATCGATCACTGAATCGACACCGGTCAACTGGTTGCGAGTATTGTTGCTTGAAGACTCGGCAGCCGACAACCTCTCTTCGAGTTGTTTGATGTCGGACTCAAGAGCTGCGATCTTGCTGTTTCGCTCCTCAAGCTGACCTTGAGCGGCCCCTGCAGCTCCCGCAGCTCCCGCCAAGTCTGCTTGAAGAAGTTCCATGTCAGACTCGAGACGAGTGACCCTTGCATTTCGTTCTTCAAGGCGAGCTTCGAGGTCATTTGTCTTCTCCAACTCAGCCTTCAGGGTAGCAATCGTCGCACTGTGCACCTCAACCTGGTCTCGTAGGGTATTGACTTCTTGAACCTCGGTGTGAAGAGTAGCAATCTTCGCGTCCCGCTCTTCGACCTGTGCATGAGCAGTATTGGCCTGCTCAAGCTCGGACTGGAGAGCTGCAATCCTTTTGTTTCGTTCCTCGATTTCACTCTGGGCCGTCTCCAGGTAGTCCAACTCTGCCTCAAGGGCAGTGATCTTGCTTTCACGATCCTCGATTTGAGACTGTGCGGCAGCTGCCGAAGCTGCCGCGTTAGCAAGGTCGGACTTGAGCTGGTCGAGATCCCTCTCAAGCTTGACGATCTTCTCGTCCCTTTCCTCGAGTTGAGCGTGAGCTGCACCCGCCGCACCGGCAGCACCAGCTAAGTCAGCCTGAAGACGTTTCACGTCTGCTTCCAACTCGGCAACCTTCCTGCTACTGTCCTCAGCCTCAGCCTTTGAGGGGACAGCGTTGTGCGCGACACTACGGGCACTTTCGAGTTCTTCAAGGGTCTCTGAGAGCATTGTCTGGGCAGTCATCGCATCTCTCTCAGCGCGGGCCAGTAGCACTTGTGTCTCATCCAGCTCCTCTTGTTTCCTTGCCAGCTCTTCATCCTTCTCGGCGTCTGATTTGTTATTGAGCTCGCGCTGCTGCTTAATCTGTCGCTTGAGCACAGACTTCTGATCCTTGAGTGTAGTGGCCTGAGAGTACAGCCACTGGACACGGTTGGAGAATCCGGGAAGACTGAAAGCCTCCTCGATATCGAATTCATCATCAGAAACTTCTTCATCCTCATAGCCTCTCTCCATGCGAGCCCTTCGACGCTCCTCTTTGTCCTTCTTAATCTTGGCGAAGCCTGTCTGCATCATGTTCCACAAGTTCATCAAGATCCTCTCAACCTGGTCACTGTCCTGCTTCTCTGGTGGCCCGGCCTGAGCTGCCTGAACGGCGCGTTCTAGCTCCGAGTCGGCAGCGCGTAATGCATCTTCAAGATAGTCAAGCTTCGTCTCAAAACTATCTTGTGGTGAATGAGGCACGGCCGGGTAACTCGGGTCTACTGTCAGGAGTAGATCTCGTACTTGCTGGTTTAGGGATTCAATGCGTTTCTCGAAAGCGCCATCAGTCTTGGTAGTTTCACCAGAAGACTCTTCCTGTTCAACCTCGATGGCATTGAGACCCATCTCAAGGTAATCTAACTGGTTGTTGAGGAGCTCTCCTGGCTTCATTCCTGAAACTCCAAAGGGAGGATCATAATAGTCTTCGTTCTTGGAAGGATTGAAGCGAACAATCGCATCTCGTAAAGAGCCGTTCAAATTCTCGAGTCGAACCTCCATTTCCGTTATCGACTTGACTAAGGAGTTGGCTTGGCCCTGTAGGTGTAGATTCTCATCCTTCATCTTCTCCATCTCATCTCTTAGCTGATTTTGTTCGCGAATCGGCGATTTGAGGGGTATCTCTATGGGTTGCTGACGGGGTTGACTTCTCGTTGAGACACCGTTGGCTTGGTCGTAATAGTCATCATCGTTGAAGTAGTGCTCGTCTCCGGCGCGATCCATACTGTTACGTGTATAAGTATATAGGCTCTCCGGGCTGCCGGGCATGCCATTAAGTGGTTGAAGGGGAGGAGTGAGATCCTTCTTCTTATTCGAGGCCTTGTGAGTGAGTTGCAGAATACCGGCAGTATGTTCCAGTAGGCGTCTTTGGGGCTCCATAAGTCGCTTCTCGAGGTTGAAGAGCTCCGCCGCCAATTCTTCGCATTTCCGCTCGCTCGCCTGTCTTTCCGCCTCGGCTTCCTTTGCGCGAGCGTGATCACCGCTGTTACGACCCAGTAGGCTTCTTCGCTTGTCATCCAGTTTGCCGGGATTATAAAGTCTCGCCATCGAGATTGCAGCATCTCGGTATTTGGACTGGATGGTCAGGTTTTGCCGGGTTGACTCGACACGCTGGGATAAGGACTGGCTTTGCTTCTTGAGGTCGTCCACCTCTTCTTGCGACAGAATCGCATACTCTTTGCTATCAGAGAGGGCTGTTTCGGTTAAGAGATGTACCTGAATCGGGTCGCGGAGGTCGACAAGCGCTGAACTTTGTGGTCGATCAGGGTTCATCTGTACACAATAGAGGTTAGAAGCCGCAGGCCCATCAGCCTCCACAAGGGTGGACAACAAGCGTACCGGATTATACAATTGATTATCCTTTTCAAAGCCGTTTATTATATCGCTGCGGTAACCCTCAACAAATATCTTTCCGCGTGGGCTTGGTGCTGGCGGTGACATCCTGTTAGGGCCATACCCATATGGGCTGCCCTCTCGCGCGTATGCACTCATGGTTTCGATGGGTTTAGGATCGTCTTGTGTAGGTTATGAGGACATGAGGTAAAGGTCGGACTGAAGCAGTGCGTAAGGATGTCAAAACACCTCCATAGAGAACAGTGAAAAGGCTGGCAAGTATCCAAAGTTTGGGCAAAAAAGTGGTTGACCGCGATCCGTGTCGTTCCGCTGGGCGAAGCTGAGCTGAGCTCGTGATTAGATTGGATTGGATGCAACAAAGGGGCTTTGCGCCCAAGAGCCGCCGAGGCTGGAAACCCGCAGAAAATCGACAACAATTCAACAAAAGGTCACGGGTTATGACTTCAAAGAAAGAGTACAAAAGTAGTGAGGAATGATGCCAATGCTGGGGACAGAAAAGGAGAGGTCGGGACTGACCATGAAGAAAAGGAGGCCCATCGAGAACCCAAAGAGTAAGATAAGTAAGGTAAGGTAAGGTAACTTAATAAGTTATCGAGTGGGACCCTTGTGAAGACCTCCACTGAAAGTTGAATTACAGCAGTTGAGCTAGTGGTCTAGCCGAGTCAGGTTGGCAGGCACGTACCGTACCTGCGTAGATCCCTTCCACACGTGCCAATGGACTTCAGTTTTCAGGGGTTTCGCGGCGGCTGGACACGCTGGGGCAAGGCACAGGAGGGGCGCACCCGCATTACTGAGGCATGGGTAGATGGGTTTGGCAGCGCTAGGCTTTATAGAGCTCGCATCTCTTTAACGATGCACCAGTAGGAATGAGCCTTTGTTTCGAGGGACCGTCATATTAGAGAGGAAAATAGATTAAAAGTTTTGTTCTGTTTATACAATTGATCCGCGCATGAGGAAACAGGATGATTCTGTAGAGTCTGAGCTGACGTGTCTAGAATCCTTTACCTACCTACCTGAGACCCCAATGCCCCCTTCTGACCGTGGCATACCGTCACGTTGCGTGGCATTGATGGCTGTGCCCGATGATCCACGCAGATATGCTGACAGTTGCTGGTGGGATCGTGGCTGACAACGCCATGGACTAAAGTTGCTGTTAGCATTCTCCTTCGGCACACGGGAGTCCGTTAGTTTCGACAACTCAGAGATGCATTCTATTTACAGAAAAGGATATCCCTGCTCTGAAGATCCCCTAGACACTCAAGTAATGCCATATGCTCACCGGGCTGAAACATTCCCCAGGAGCCAAAGTATGCTCTTCAATATTGAAGTCCCCTATCCCGCAATTTTTCGGAAGCCATCGGCTATTGTCCAATTGTGGCAAAGTATAATGCTAGATATTGCTAACGTACGTACCGACCACTAAAGCACCTCTCGGACTTGATCCATGATTTGCTGCCCCATCGTTCTCCGGCGCTCTGCCTGGCTCTCCGTTGAAGCCTGAGCTCCGGTTGCAACAGCTGTTGTCGAGTTCTCGTCCTCGAGTCGACGTCTAAGGCCTTCAAACTCGGCACTTCGTCTATGAGAGCTTAGTCCTACAACCCAACCCGGCACTCGCCAGCGCACAAGGGCAGCTGGGAGAAGTCCTTCCCGCCACGAGTATCCAACAATCCATCCAGTGGCTGCACCCAGGACCGAACCTGGCCATTGCAAGAGTGCGAGATGCAACGCAATGGCGTACTTGTAGGACTTATCCGAGAACGTGAGACCAACGAATGGTCGGTCGGTGGGAGGTGCCTCAGACGTGGCAACTCGATACTTGTACATGTGCGGAACCATGGCATGATACTGAGCTAGGATAGCAAAGATAATAGGAGTTGGTCCAGCCGGGATGTAGTTGAACCATCCAGCAGCGGGAGGCCGCAATACCATCGAGACAACAGGCGGTATGATGGAGGTGATGAAGAAAGTGACAGTCAGGAAGGACTGCACAAAATGCTATCAGCAGTGTAAAAACGAAAGTTTCATGAAAGTCACTTACAGCGAACTTGCGAGAACCCCACATTCTCTCAACGATGCGAAGGTTGTATAACGACATGGCAGCAAAAAGTACCTCTGTGGAGTTGACATAGCATAGCTGGTAGGCCAAGATTCTCCAGAATTGCCGGTATCTCCATATGTGTGTGTCGATGAGAATGTAGAAGTAGTGCTTGACGTCAAGAACACTCGCGATGATAGAGCCAGCTACCAGGCCGACCACACCGAGCCGAGTGACAGGTGTATTGGTGAAAGACATGATGGTGAGGGGTTGTGTCGAGTTTCAACGTGACATACTATAGGGATAAGCCGACTCTATCTCTCATGGGGAGGTGAGGTGTTTCTATCAGATGCAGTTGAGATTTGATTGATTGCAATTGATGTCGAACTTTGGGCCTTAAATTTGGCTAGTGTTTTGACAAGAGTGAAGCTACCTTGAAGGTATATGAAGCTCTAGGAGCTACCTATGCCTACCTACCTACCTATACGCAAGGTGGCATTAACTATCACGTGCAGCTCGGGTAATTATGGATCGTCCCGCATTGCCGTTGAATAGCCCGCTGACGTAGATTTGACATCGATTTCTCATCCAATAACAGATCTTAGATGAAAGCAATTGGATATGGTTTTCAACTTGATAGGCTGGTCTACAACAGCAGGGCTGGTGACCAAACAGCAATTGAGCACCAAATCGTTTTTGAAGCATGGATCCTCTGATCCTGGTTCTTATCGAAACTTCAAACCTCATCTCGACCGTATCTTCAAGACCTGGAGCTCTGTCAATGGAGGAGGTGCCTTGAAAGACAAAAGAAACAGTGAAACGTCCAACGGAAGCTTTTTCAATAGCCACGATAGACAAAATAGCATATTGCATGTTGTACTTAGTTGAGATCGATCCGAATGATCAATTGCTCCCCGTAATCGTCAACTACTATTCGATCAAGGCGGAAATGGAGAGCGATGCCGGAGGTGCCTCCCTAATGCTCACGTGATAATTCAAACCACACCCAAGTACTAGGTATTACCCTGTATCATGGAAGCTTGATAAGGTAGTGATCTCTCAGGGCTGATCACCTCTTCACAATGGAAGTATTGGCTGTGTCGAGTAGATAATTAATCCATTCCTTGCTAAAATCAATACCCGATCAAATAGTAGTATTCCAGATCTTGATGTGTGAGATGCTTCATTTATTTACGCTTGTTTGAATGGTCTTTAATTTATTCGTAAAGAAGCCCTCTCTGAGCTCTCCCGTCTGTAGAGGAGCTTGCAAAACCGACTGTACTCATTCATCTTCATCCTTGATCAACCTCACTTCACCCTTACACCAAAAAACACACCCTCCACCAGCGGCTCACGCGGATACGAACAGAGACTCTATCTTGCCGACACAAACATCGAAACTTGTGCCGATCTGTCTTGGGCCCAAGACTTTATCGCTCCCTCTCCCGATCTCCCGAAACCCGCAAAAACAGGGCATTAATCCCGATCACGCCCTCCACTATCCCGTCACTACCACTGCCACTACCACTACCACTCCCTGACACCCAATTCAGTTCACTATGCCACTCGCCAACTTTGGGACCCTGGTTCTCCACCATCTCGTCTTTGTCGCGCATTTGGTTTATTTTCATATTGCTTTTTCGCATATGGAACCCAGTGCCCTCGTGGCTCTCTATTGCGTCTCAAAGCTACTCGCCCGTCGCGCTGACGACATTGACGGCCCTCCTCCAGAATGGCCCCCGCCAGTGATCCAATGGTAGCCGGGGCCGAGCTGCAGCCTCCGTCTCCGTCTCCGGTCCCGCCATCCGGGTCGACGTCGGCCCTGGCTACGGGCTATGAGTCTCCGTCTGAAGAGAACCCACCCTTCTTCTCCGTCGTGGCCTCGGCTCCAGCTGCTCCAGGGACCGCCCATTCAAGACATCATGTCGTGCCGCGGCCGGCCTTATCTCAACGGCCATCATATATCACTGCTATACCCCCTGAGCATACCAACGGCCATGCCCGTCCAGGTCGATTACTCAACAATGAGTCCACTCTCACTTCAAATAGCCTGAACCATGTCATCGCAACAGCTGAGAAGGGCCCTGGAAACCAAAAGGTTGGCATTCGAGACCGTATCGCCTGCTATCAATGGACATATTTCACTATGGTATGTCATCGTCTTGACTTATCGATGTCGCTGACCTCGCTAACCCTGTAGTAGACCATGTCAACCGGAGGCATTGCAAATATCATTTACTCATGTAAATACACTAACTCTCATGTTGCGTCCCAGAAGAAAATAGCTAACTCTTGCTAGTGAAGTGGGAAGCACCTTGGCTGCGTGGCATTGGCCTCTTCTTCTTTTTTCTCAACATCGTCCTTTTTGCAATGAATTGTATTCTTATCTGTACAAGATTCCATCTGAGGCCTGGGAGTTTCGTAAACTCCTTCACAGACCAAGTTGAATCGCTCTTCATATCAGCTTCAGTAGGGCTCCCTCCTCTTATGGCATACTGTTAAAACTAACAACAACCAGTTGGTCTCGTAAGCAACAGACAGCTATTATCGGAGTTCAAAAATATTCTGACAAACTCAGTATTGCTGTAATATTAATCAACACCTGCCAATACGGTATTCCGTACACCGGCATATGGCTAGTCCACACCATGGAGTGTGTCTTCTGGGTTTACGCTGCCCTGAGCGTCTCCCTCAGCGCATTTCTATATCTCATATTATGGTCTACACTGTACGCCCAAGTTTATATGCTCTGCTGACCTGGCCGGCTGACTGTCATGACCAGAATCTTCCCCGTCCATACCATGACACCAACCTGGGTCTTCCCAGCGTACCCTCTGCTACTCAATGCCCCCTTTGCAGCAAACCTCATCGCGGCTGCAGATTCAGCTGGTCACAAACTATCAACCAACACTGTTGCAATGGCGCTCGGGGCCACTGCTATTCAAGGAACCGGTTGTCTGATCGCTTTCATGATTTCGTCGGCCTTCATATACCGCCTCATGACGCAGAAGCTCCCTAGGGACATGCAGAGGCCCGGCATCGTGAGTACACACACTCTACTTTCTTTAACGTTGCTGACCGTTGCTAGTTCATGTCTATCGGTCCCTATGGTTTTACCGCTGCTGGCATAGGTACGTTTCAAATGCCTTGCAACATATGTATTATGTCTGACAACATCAGCTCAACTCGGCAGCCAAGCAGACTTGGTAATACCTCCAAACTTTCTTGACAACCCTCAGTTTGCCGCTATCATCAAAGTCATCAGCATTCTCGTCAGCCTCTGGCTCTGGGGACTTGCCATGTGGTTCTTCATAGTTTGCGTCGGCGCATTGTGGAAATACTCTCTTTCCGGCCATCATTTGCCGTTCCAGATGACGTGGTGGTCTTTTGTTTTCCCTAATACGGCTCTTGTATGTAATACTTTCCACCACACCACTTTTCACTGTATGCTCAATTGGTGTCTTACAGGTTACCGCTACCAGTGTCATGGGTAAAATATTTGATAGCAATGGCCTGCATATATTTGCCTCTGTCATGACCGCTGCAATCATCATCGTCTGGGCTCTTATCTTCATCAGAATGTGTTGGAGTCTGAAATCGAGAAAACTTCTGTGGCCCAAGGATGGAAAATAGAGCATATCAGGCTGATTGCAGCATGTCACCGTTTCTTGACCATTCCCTTCCGTCTCATCATAACAGTCTTATTGATCAAGATGTTAGTAGGTCTAGCATATCTAAGGTAACCAGGTCAGCATAAACCGGCGTCAGATTTCTTTAGCATAAGGGCAGTCATCTCAAACTATTTATTCAACTTTCGGACCTCGCTACTGCAATCCGTTTTAAGTACAATCCTCGATGCAAACATCCAGTGGCATGACCAAGTCAACGCAAAGAAGATGCCGTTTATTTCCCTGACAGGAACTCCAAAATCTTCGACAATACCGTTCATGAAACCGATCCTTGTCATTGCGCGCCTCTCATGAAAACAACAACAACAATAGAATGAACAAAGCAAATGTATCTTGGTTCGCTCATGGGAATCTGCAAACGCCGCCAAACTCCATTAGTGATACCTCCGTACTAGTACATACAGCCTCTCCTGCGGTCTCCAAGATGAATGACAATAAGTGGGAAGCATGGCGACTTTATAGCTTCGCCTTGACACCTTCTCCAGCTGTAGCCTCGAGATTGACAGTTACCTCGCCTGTCTTCTCCCCGTGGCCGAAGAAGATGACTTGAACAGTCAAATCATCACTGAGAATCTTTAGTAATATGCTGCTTAACGCCAATGTCATAACTTACCGGTATCGTCGTGAGAAAGGCGAGGGCAGCGTGAGCAAAGCGCAGACCTGCTCGTCGTTGTTGCCACCAAGGGCGTTTCGGACAAGGTGTGTAGCAACATTCTTATCCTTCACGGTGAACCGATCCTTAGCATCCGGGTCAATACCCCATTGCTGAACGCGGATGGGGGTCTTGTTGCCATCGGGTCCGGCGGTCTTGCTCTCCTCAACGGGTAATGGTGTTTTTGATGAGCCAAAGATCTTGTTCCATGCAGCATCAAACTGTGAGTTGGTTCCAGACTGTCCCTGGGTCTCAATCCACTTGCCTACAAGGCCAACAACCTCTTCATTGGTGAGCATCTCCCAGAGGCCATCGGTTGCCAGGACAAGGAAATCGCCATTCTCAGGGTGGACCTTGGTAGTTGTAACGATAGGCTCGGCGGTGACATACGGAGGAGTCTTTAAAAGAGGTGAAGGGCTGCGACCAAAGAAGTTCTCGCGCAACTTCCAGGCAACATCTCTGCTCCACTTGTAGACGGCATCTCCAAAGGCACGACTGGGCTCTAATCCACCAAGAACACGGCCATTTCGGATGACGTGGTCCTCCCCAGGATGCTCCTTGCGCATGCGCTCAACCTCTTGAGGGTTGCTACCCGTTTGATCTTCTGACAGAGCAGTGGCTGTCCACTTTCCGTTCCCTGCTCTGCGACCAAGGACTGCGCGAGAGTCACCAGTGCATGCAACCCGTAGGAGGTTGCTGCGGCTGTCGTAGAATGATAGCAGAGCGCACGATCCTGATAGTGCGGGCTGTAGAATCTCGGCTGCGACGGTCTTGGAACCGCCCTTAAACACCTTCTCCACGCTCTTGTGGACGATCTCGTTATCCAGGTTGTTGAACCCAGTCTTGATGGCCAGATTTACTGCATCCTCAGAAGGAAGATCGCCGGAAGCCTTCTTATAAGTTTCGTTCAACTCGCG